TTCTGAAAATCTCGTAAAATAATTTATTAGCCTCACAATTATCCCGTTTAGCTGTGACACAACAGCCACCACCTTCCATGCCTGGCGCACCTGGACCAGCTGGACCACCTCCGCAACTTTGGGGCAACACTAAGATCACTTATGACGTGAAGGTATATCCAGCCATTTGATTGAAAGTTTATTTGTAGCAAAAACACACCTGATCTTCAATAATATAAACAAATTAACAACATTTTGAACACATGATGCATATCGTGTGTTCAAAATATTTTTATAATCTCCTTTTTTTAGTATTTGCTTTCGACGTCTCATAATTTCAAGAGAATTAGAGGAAATTCTTTTGTGCACATCACGTTTCATTGAGTTTTCCTTTTCCAAGATTATGAGCAACCTCCCATTCCCAAAAAATTCTGGTTGGGCACGCCCACTGTCCCGTCCACTTTTGAAAATTTTGGTTTGTGTCCCCTTCCCACCTACCTTCTCTCCTTCAAGATTTTTTCCAAAGCGATATTAGTCACAACTCGCTTGTCTACACCGATTCTGCCCACATCTTCGTGGTGCATTCTGTTTTAGGTCTACGATGAATATAAACAACGTTTAGTAGTTTTTCCAGGGAACAGTTTAGAAGAGACTGGTTGAAATTGCATGAGCCCCATAAATTATAATTTATTAGCAAAATAGAAGACTTAATTCAACTCATTAACAGTCGAAAAATCATGAGTGTTCAGTGTCAGAGCAAATTTGGGAAAGAAAATAGTGGAATACAGCCCGGGACATAAATATGATACTAAAAATTTTTGCAACACTTGTGCTCTTGTATCTTCAAACCATGCAGATGCTGTTTTAGGATCCACTGTTTTTACGATGGGGTGTACGAGCCGCACCTGCTCACAATCCACCCGTCATACGGCCACCAATGGTAACCTTTTTCTAGATCCATTTGCTTCTATAATTTATAACCAAATTTAGCCTGTCGGGCCCTGCTGGATGGTTGAGAATGCTCTAAAAGAGAGGAAAATGGCTATAGCACCTGCCCATCTTCCACCTCCGATGTTTATTCAACCTCCTCCTCCCATGTGACGAAACTGCTCATGTTGTTATTGCTTGTCCAAAATTATATCGTTTTCTGTTTCACTTACGGTTTTTTTCTTTTCTGCCATGCATCTCATTTTAGCTCGCTTTGTTGGTGTATCAAATAGGTGTTGAAGACTACTTGATTAGCTGGTAATTTCTTAATAAGATTCCAGCATCCTCATGTTCGGCTATTGGCTGTAAATAAGACAAAACAATTATATTTGGGGATATGTTTTGCTTGCTTTCTTTTCAACAAAGCCCTTGAACTGCGTGTAAATCCGTTAAAACATCCTTGGATAATTAGCATAACTAGCTTAATTACAGAGTCCTTCTTCTGTGTTCTGAATTGAATGGCACCCATAGCAGTTGATCTACTCAGTTGTTAGTACAAACCTAGACCCTACTGATTAGTGGACAAGAAATTAATGAAGTTTACTATGATGTTTCCAGGCATTCCCACTTGCAGGTGATTTATGAGCTGTCGCTTCAATGATAGAACTATTACTTCCTTAGTTGAACCGTGCCCAACTTCGAAAAACGTTTAAAAGAGAAGTATCCGTGCCTGTACTGGACCACAATTAAGATGAAGATAAAACTAGCCATGTGCCACCTTACATCTAAAGTCTGCAAGTGTAGCACGATCATTAATCCGGAATGACGGACTTTATGGGTGGCGGTCAAGAATAACGATAGCTTGCACCAGCCGCCGCTGCCACCTCGAGCACCCTGCAAATAGCCTCGCTTCCAAAGAGCGTACGCCCGCGCAACATGCTGCCTGCGTGTTACAAAAGAGCACGTGAAACGCTCCGCTCAACCCAATATGTCGCGCTCAATATGCGGAGATTAGGTTCAGAAGATAAACGATTTTGAGAAGATGAACGTTTTACATTGCTCCGCTTCAACTGTTTCCGCATTGTTCAAGAAAGAAAAAAAAGAGAAAGAAACAGATCATTGGGAATAAATTTTAAAAAGGATGTCCGTCTGTTCGATTAAATTTGTTGTTGATCAAGCCAACATTTTCAACCGACGCTTAGTAATTTCTACGTCATTTTGAAGAAAGAAGTGCTGAAAATCATAGAAAATTTACCAACTAAGTCATAAAATACAATGCCGACGATGAAATTGACATATATATATAGGCATATTCAGAACATATTGACATTCGTCTCTTTGAACTGTCGTCAAGAGGATAATGGCCTAGGAAATTGGATGTATTCATCCAGAGGTAAATCTTGGCCTCGTTCAGCCCTCAGGGCGATCTTTGAAGTGCGAACAAAGTTCT